CAATTTATTAAAAATTGATTAAATTCAAGTTATTTATCAATTATATTTGATATTGTTTATTTTCTACACGTATATTTTGTTCGTAAAAGAATTGACTGTAACATAATTTCGAATTACATTCATATATACAACGTGTATTGTAGGGAAAATGAACGCAAATAAAAGAATTTATATTTATCATGAGTTATTATAAACTCATAGATTATTTACTTTCCTTCTACTATCTAATATTCTTTCATTAAATTCCAAGAATCATGGTCCCATCTATAATTTCACCATTGTGTATATAATATATATTTAAAATATATGAATAATTAAAATTTTATGATAGTTAGAATTCGCAAATGTTGATAGGAAAAATATTTAAAACATTTAGGTAAGTTTGATGGATATCAGACAAATAGAACTTTTAAAACAGACAATGAAAAATTGTGCAGTGAAGAGTGATGACTGAAGACTGAAGAGTGAAAAGAAAATATAGGCTTTTTAGGTTATTTAATTAAATAAAGGTTTACACGAATTAATATTTGAAATTTATAGTAAATATTTTTATGTGATAAAAGATAATTAACTAATAAAATATTAAAAAGAAAAGAAATAATTAAAATGTGTGTCTTATGAAATGATTTAATTAGAGGAAATTGAGATTTAAATTTCTTATAATGTAATACATCATTTGAAAAAACAAAGTTATACAAAAAAAAAACAATATATAATTAAAGTTATAATGAAAAAGAAAGTATCTTAAAAATTTGAGTGAACTTGATAAATATTGAATGAGTTAAATAATTGAGACATGAACAAAAAATTGTAGTAAAATAAGAATTAATAGATTGATGATGTTTTAATAATTTAAAACAAAAATAAATATGAGAATGTGAATAGGGTGAGTATATATATACCAATACCATACTTCATATCTAATTTAAAATATCAAGTATTAGTTATGATCATACTTAAGTCTTTCAAATTAAATATTTCTTATAAAATTAGAATGAGTTCAAATAATACTCGTGACAATGAGTTTATTTATCATGTCTGATATATTAAGAGAAAATTTATATTTTTTCTATTACAGTAAAATGTAATATATTAAAAATATAAAATTTTATATTAATTCATGTAAAATTTAAACATAAACTTGTAGGCTTGAATATGTAATTTTGCTATAATATTGGTGTGATATAGGAAGAAAGAAGATAATGTCATGTATTATGTAATTAAATTTGATATTTTATAACGTTAGATTTTTTTTATATCCTTTATTTTGTTTTACATTGGTAAATGATGAAAACATAATCTTTACTATTTTTACCGGATTAGATTCTAGGTATGTAAGATAGATGATGAAATCTCGAAGGTGCCTTTACAAGGTAGGTTGGTCTAAACAGGACACATGAAAAAGACTCTCTAAGACTTAAGTGAGTAAAATCTTTAAGTATCAGTTTAGAGCGTAAGTAAAAGTATGAAGAATGTTTCAGTGTGATGTACTTCCAGGTCCAGGTCCTTATATGGAGCTAGGAGGATATGGTTGTTGAGCTCGAGCATCTTTGAAATAATGGTGAATAACCATCTCATAAATAAGGTCACAGTGACTATATGTATTGAATGCCCATTATTAATGAAAATTGTTGAACTTTAATGAGCATTAAAGTCTCTTTCTGGGCTAGGCATGTACATAAGGCCATGAAGTTTGACATGGGCAATGAATGAACTCGAATGACCTTTTGGCCAAGTTTAATTCGCCTTACCTGTGTAGGTGAAAAAGACTGTGTTATGACGATGATTGACCCTTTGGTCGAGTTGAAGTCGACTTTTATATGCAGGTCGATTTCCTTTCGATTTTGTATTGATGAGGGTTATATGTCATCTTCCCTAGAGTTTATTTTTAGTTGCATTTTATAATTCTCTGGATTCTTGCTTTTAATTTTCTGCAAGCTTGAACATGTGGATTTCACTTGCATCTTTACTAGGTTGTTTTCAGATTTGTTTGTTTTATTAGGCATTTAAATCTATTTGAGTATTTTATTTACATTTCACTTTTTCTTCGTCTTAGGTTAGCTTCATGCATGCTCTTAACTATCCAACTTGGATTTTTACAAACCATTTAGTCTTGTTGTATCAAGTTAGCATTGCTCTCATGCATGCTCTTACTGGATCAACTTGGAGCTTCGTGCATGTTTTTGCTATTGGATCTTCTTTCAATTAACTTTACTATACTCATTGCATAAACTCATGTCAAGTTCACATATCTGCATCTGACTTTGTAAATCTAAAAATATTAGGTCTTACTTGCACATTTTCAGTCATACATTTAACCTACACTTGTTCCAATCCTTGTAGTTAAACTCTAAGTGTCTCTTTCATTTTAATAGGTCACATTATACATGTTACACTGTATTTGAATTTTAAAATCTGCACTTTTCACATTAGTTTGCATTTCCCTTGCATCCCTTTGAACATTGCATACGTTACCTTCCATTCTTTGAATCTGTGTTTTGTTGCGTGGCTTGGTATCTATTTCCTTACATCCTGTTTCACTACACTGTTATTAAATTTTGTATATAGGAAAAAATTTGAACATATGAATCTACACCAACATCATCCCCAAACAGAAGAAATATCGAGTTCAGATCCACTGGCTCTTTCTTTAAGAAGCCAAGAGCATTGTAGACGGCTCATGGTTTATGCTCGGATCATTTCCCATATAAAATCTTTGAAATCCAGGGTGGTTGTCATAATAGATCATCTTCAACTTCTCCTTCTTATTTAGAATTACAAACTTGGGTTTATACATAATTTACAAAATATTTAATTATTTTCATGCTTTTATCAATAATTCGGCTAAAAATGTTTTCACTTTTCAAATAATTTTGTTCTAGTTCAAGTATTTTCATTGACATCACAAGTCAATGAAATGAAGACAGTGATGACATTTATGATGGGCAATTGACTTCACATTTTAACATTTTTCAATTATCACTGATAATAATTTTTAAATTTGTGTAAATATTTCTTTTTAATATATTATCGACTAACTATTATTTAATATTGTAGGTATATGATTAAGGAAGGGTGTCAAATGATGAAAAAAAAAATTAAAGAACAACAACAATAATTGTTATTCAAAACACTTTAATTTGTTACGAGAAAGAACGTGTTTATTTTTAATTTTTAGGACTGACGATATGTTATTTCTTAAGTTAACAAATTAATTGTATTTCTAATTTTACAATTTATTTTATTATAATAATAATTATTTTTGGTTTCATATTATTGTGATTTAATATTAAACATATTTCATTTAATTACATTAATCAAATTGTTTGAATAATAAAAAAATTAAATTATTTTCATGGTTTTTAAAACCTCAACTACATAAAACCAGAAAATATCAACGGTTTTTTGTTAATCCATGCAAGTCTTGACTGTTTCTTTCAGCTCTAGCAACTATCACCAGTTTTACGAACTCCCACAGCTACTGGCGATTTCTATAAAAACTTCCACAAATGATCACAGTTAAATAAATTTTTTTAAGTTATTTACAACGATTTTTAAAAACCTCTCACAAATAGCAATAATTACGAACAAAACCATCGAAAATCTTTACTGACATTTTTTCAGTGATTTTATCAACTGTGTATTTATCATAGATTAAAACCATTGATAATAAAAAGAACCTTGTATTATTTTTGTAATGAATTATTTTAATTATATAACCAAGAGTAACACTTGAAGAATATATGCCGTATAAACTAAAATAAGTTCACATTTTTTCTTTTAATTTTAGAGAGAGATAAATGAGATAAACATGAATTATTTTCCTGTATCTATCGTGTAAGAAGAAAGTAAAAATAAAAATATTTGCGTAATCATAAGGTTGAAATGAAAAAGTTTCCTGAAAGAGAATCAGAGGTAACACCTACTAAATAAATCAATATCTGTCAAGTGTTTATTACATTTATTATATGTTTATACTACTCTATTTTCTTTTCTTTTCACATGCAGTCAAAAGCAAAATTTCCCAAGGCAACCTTTTACTCTTATCATCTACTTAATGAAAAGTTTTGTGAAAAAGTTTTATATTCTATTAAATAGTCTTTTTTAAAGTCAACCCACTATTTCGTCAATCTTTTTGAATTTTAAGATAATTCCCCTATCTTTTTAGTGCAAACTTTTATTATTTTACCTCAAACCATATGCTTGAAAAGTTAGTAAAAAAAGAATGCTATCAACCTTTAAGTTTAGAATTTTGTGATGAAACTTTTGAAGATTGAGGCTGAGTGGGTAAAGATGAATAATTATTATTCTGTCTTTCTTTTCTTTTTCCAGAATTGAAAAAAATAAAAACTTGACTTGTGATTTTCAATATAATACAACTGCATATATTTTTATAACCAAATCAACACATAAAACAACATTGTAAAAACCATCTAATGAGTTAAGATAAAATAAAGTCAACACAATAGTGCTAATTAATGACTTAAAGTTTTAATTAATTAAACTTTGAGATTGCCTTCATGAGTTTTCCAAACGATGAAACACGGAAAATAACTGGGAATTTCTTGGACAAAAGTCAATAGGAGAAAAGGAAAATCAAACTACCAATTTTTTTTTTTTTTTTAAAAAAAATGCCATAACTATGAGAACTGAGAAACAAACAAAAACACTAACAAGGTAAAGTCATCAAGGAAGAAACGCATTTGGGGAGAATTTAAACTAAAAGTTTAAAACTTGAATTTTTATGTATTTTGAAAAGTTAAATAAGAAGTAAATTTTTGTAATCATCTTTTACAAGTAGATCCAATCAAACAATACTTAATAATTAAGTTTGACTACCAAAAAAATTGTTGACCAACCTCTGAATACACCTTAAGTCCTTTTGCATTATATTTTATATCTCACTAACCTTTTTTCATTAGACGTGGAACAGTGCAAAATAAAACTATGTATAATATTATTAATACTTTAAGTATATTTTATAGACATCAAATGGGGATGTAGCTCAGATGGTAGAGCGCTCGCTTAGCATGCGAGAGGTACGGGGATCGATACCCCGCATCTCCAAAATGTAAATGTTTTTTTTCCATTTTCTTTTGTTTTTAATTCAACAATCCTTTACTTTTATTCCTAGTACTTGCTCCTGGTACTCTTGTCTTTATTCATGGAAGAACATCCTGAATCTCAATGTCGCTACTCAAGTCAACAGCTCTTGTTTCCAAACCTTGTTTCACCACCACCCTCAATTCTCTACAATGTGGAAGCTTACTGCAATCACTCTCCAATTCCAAATCCTTAACCCAAGCCCAGCAACTCCACGCACACGTCACCACCGACGGCAACCTCCGCCACAACACCTATCTCGCCACCAAGCTCGCCGCATGCTACGCTGCCTGCGGCCACATGTCCCATGCCCAACTCATCTTCGACCAAATTGTGCTAAAGAATTCGTTTCTCTGGAACTCCATGATCAGGGGCTACGCCTGCAACCACTCTCCCATTAAGTCCCTTGTTCTCTACCGTGAAATGTTGCGTTTAGGACAGAAGCCTGACAATTTCACCTACCCTTTTGTCCTGAAGGCCTGTGGGGACCTTCTGCTTCGCGGAATTGGTAGAAAGGTTCACGCTTTGGTGGTGGTTGGTGGGTTCGAGGAGGATGTTTACGTGGGGAACTCGATACTTTCGATGTACTTAAAGTTTGGTGACGTGGCAGCTGCGCAGGTGGTGTTTGATAAAATGCCTATGAGGGACTTGACTTCTTGGAACACCATGGTGTCGGGGTGTGTGAAGAATGGTGAGACTCAGGGAGCTTTTGAGATTTTTGGGGAGATGAGGAGGGTTGGTTTTGTGGGAGATGGGACCACCCTGCTTGCTCTTCTCTCCGCTTGCGGGGATGTTATGGATTTGAAGGCGGGGAAAGAGATTCATGGTTTTGTTGTCAGAAATGGTGGGAATGGGAGAGTGAATAATGGGTTTTTAGTGAATTCAATTATAGACATGTACTGCAATTGTGAGTCTATGTCTTGTGCAAGGAACTTGTTTGAAGGGTTGATAGTGAAGGATGTTGTGTCGTGGAATTCTTTGATATCCGGGTATGAGAAACGTGGGGATGCTTTTGAAGCTCTTGAGCTTTTCGGTCGGATGGTTGAGGGAAGGGAAGTGCCAGATGAAGTGACCGTAATTTCAGTGCTCGGAGCTTGTAATCAAATATCGGCTTTGCGGTTGGGCACGTCTGTTCATTCATATGTTGTTAAGAGGGGCTATGGAGTGAATGTAGCTGTTGGAACTGCACTTATTGGCATGTATGCTAACTGTGGGAGTTTAATTTGTGCGTGTTGTGTGTTTGATGAGATGCCTGAGAAAAATTTGGCTGTTTGGACCGTTATGGTTTCTGGCTTTGGAATTCATGGGAGAGGAAGAGAGGCAGTCTCCATTTTCTACGAAATGTTAGGTACAAATGTAATTCCAGATGAGGGCATTTTCACTGCAGTTTTATCTGCTTGTAGTCATTCTGGATTAGTGGATGAAGGTAAAGAAATTTTCTATAAAATTACTAGAGACTATAATGTAGACCCTGGACCCACTCATTATTCATGTTTAGTGGATCTACTTGGCAGAGCAGGGTACTTAGATGAAGCATATGAAGTTATAGAGANTGTATTCCTGTTAAATAAAATGGTATGAGCATTCTTGGTTTTCTTACAATTTTTAAGATAACAAACAATAGTAATGGACTTAAAAGTGTTTCATTTCTTCTATAATCCAATTTCAATATGCAGAGGCGAAATGGTGGTATTTGACTTTTTAGAATAAGAACATGGCCTTTTTATACTCAGCATCATTTACTGAATCATATAAGCACAGGCTGATATTAAGGTATTCTTTAAACAAAAACATGCATCCCTAGTTTTCTTAAAATTAGCTGAGAGATCCTTTTATGTGATACTACTTTTTAGTCCTTGAATTCAAATGAATCGATTTCTTCATTTTGGATTCTTTCTTTGGAAAACATAGATGGAAATACTATATATAAGCTTCGCGATAAGTAACATAGTAATTGGTGAAGTAAAGATGGAAAGTTCTGCATGTATGAACTTTGATATACAAACAGGTAACTCTATATGCAGCCAAGTAAAATCTCAATAATAAGCACGTAGTTCGCACGCTTGAGTCAGCTTAATATACATGTAAAACCAGGGGAAGTTTTACATAACAACACAAAAACACAGAATTACCAACCAAATTAGCCAATTGCTATGAAACCAAACAGAAAAATATGGTAGTCAAAATCAAAACCACTTTTTGGTAACAAATTAAAAAGGGCCATTAAACATTTATTCAGAACAGAAAGAAGAATCATGAACAAACAAAAAACCAGACAAGAAATCCAAAGAAGAAACAACAAAGAAGGGACACAAATTAAAGAAAAAAAAACGATACCTTCAATCTATGAACATAAATAATTGATGCCCCTCCACCAACTCTAGAAGACTCATCTTCCTTTCCCCCTTTCCCCTCTGAACCCCCTTGGGCCAACGCACAAAGGAGAATGACGTAAACAACAGCATAATTGGGTCTTGTCAATTCCATTATATTTTTCAACTTCATCAACCCGAACGCAAAATTCCCGTCTCATCTCTCATTGAACATGAGTCCTCCCAAGTTTTCAAACGAACAAAGCCAACACCTTGCCAAAAGCTTCCGTGCCTTCCAAAAGAATAATAAATACAACAATATATCGCTCGTTCCAAACTTCGTGAACGCTCAACTTTTCCACAAACCCACGAAGGTGGGAGTTTGGAAATTCAACTGTATGATATCTCGGGAATCAGGTTGGAACGAGAGACAATATACAAAATATGACGAAGCTGGACAATGGGTTGGTATTAGATAAGATGAATATACGAATAACGCACGTTGTGGAAGAACCAATCAAATGAACGTTACGTACGTGAGAGTGTCGTATGAACCCAATTCATGCAAAGGTATAACAAGGGTTGAATCCACGTTGAAAATTTGAATTTTTTTTTTCTTGTTTTTGGTTTTGTCTTTTTCTTTTTTTGGTTTTAATGAAATTCTATAGAATTGCAATACCAGTACAAGAATTTGCGTCTCTGGGAATTTTGATCATTGAAAAGTTTGTTTCTTGTACTGGGTGTGGGAGGAGGCGTCAGAGGAGAGAGAAAGACAACGATGCATTGAAAGTCCTAATAGGGACGTGGGGAGAACAATGTGGGACCCTTCTTTTGCTTTCCTACTCTCCAACTATGTCTTTTTACTCTCCTTTCTTTATAGGAAAATTCTTTATATGCTTCCACCACATTTATTTTTATTTATTTTATTTTATCGTCCCTCTACTCACCTTATTTATCATCGTTGTCGTTACTCCGAGCGTTTGTTTCTGATTTTCTTTGAAGTTCTCTTTAAGCAATTTTTGGTTATGTTTTAATCTAATCTACTTATTTAAAAAATAACTAGTTTTGACTTATTTTAATAAGAAAATCCTATCTACTTTTTGAAAAGTGATGCTTTTAAATTATTTATTTTAAATTTAAACAAACTGATTTATAATGTTGAATAAGTTTGGTTAAATTTGAAATAACTATTTCCGAAATAAGTAAATTAAATTTCTTTAAATAATGCAGTTGTTTAAAATACAGATAACTTCTATTTTTTAAAACAAACAGTTTAAACAAAACGTTAAAAGTAGAAATTTATCTGTTTTTATTAAAAACACTTTTTTTTTCAAGAGTAATTTCTAACAAACAATAATTCTTGTTTTTTTAAAAAAGGAGCAAACCAACTCACCTATAGTATGAAAGTGAGCGTCGCAATTTTTTTTTTAAATATTTATGCTCATCCATGGATTTTTGTAGAAACTTATTAATATATGCTATATAAGGAGAGAGAGAGGTTGATCTTTGCATAAATAGTTTTTCATGTAACAAATCACCAAATGATAGTCAAAGACTAATTATTTTTAAGTGTAGAGATTATATAATGTTTACCTGTCATTTTTTTCCGTATACAATTTATTACAAATTGATTAAATTCAAGTTATTTATCAATTATATTTGATATTGTTTATTTTCTACACGTATATTTTGTTCGTAAAAGAATTGACTGTAACATAATTTCGAATTACATTCATATATACAACGTGTATTGTAGGGAAAATGAACGCAAATAAAAGAATTTATATTTATCATGAGTTATTATAAACTCATAGATTATTTACTTTCCTTCTACTATCTAATATTCTTTCATTAAATTCCAAGAATCATGGTCCCATCTATAATTTCACCATTGTGTATATAATATATATTTAAAATATATGAATAATTAAAATTTTATGATAGTTAGAATTCGCAAATGTTGATAGGAAAAATATTTAAAACATTTAGGTAAGTTTGATGGATATCAGACAAATAGAACTTTTAAAACAGACAATGAAAAATTGTGCAGTGAAGAGTGATGACTGAAGACTGAAGAGTGAAAAGAAAATATAGGCTTTTTAGGTTATTTAATTAAATAAAGGTTTACACGAATTAATATTTGAAATTTATAGTAAATATTTTTATGTGATAAAAGATAATTAACTAATAAAATATTAAAAAGAAAAGAAATAATTAAAATGTGTGTCTTATGAAATGATTTAATTAGAGGAAATTGAGATTTAAATTTCTTATAATGTAATACATCATTTGAAAAAACAAAGTTATACAAAAAAAAAACAATATATAATTAAAGTTATAATGAAAAAGAAAGTATCTTAAAAATTTGAGTGAACTTGATAAATATTGAATGAGTTAAATAATTGAGACATGAACAAAAAATTGTAGTAAAATAAGAATTAATAGATTGATGATGTTTTAATAATTTAAAACAAAAATAAATATGAGAATGTGAATAGGGTGAGTATATATATACCAATACCATACTTCATATCTAATTTAAAATATCAAGTATTAGTTATGATCATACTTAAGTCTTTCAAATTAAATATTTCTTATAAAATTAGAATGAGTTCAAATAATACTCGTGACAATGAGTTTATTTATCATGTCTGATATATTAAGAGAAAATTTATATTTCTATTATAGTAAAATGTAATATATTAAAATATAAATTTTTATATTAATTCATGTAAAATTTAAACATAAACTTGTAGGCTTGAATATGTAATTTTGCTATAATGGTGTGATATAGGAAGAAAGAAGATAATGTCATGTATTATGTAATCAAATTTGATATTTTATAACGTTAGATTTTTTTTATATCCTTTATTTTGTTTTACATTGGTAAATGATGAAAACATAATCTTTACTATTTTTACCGGATTAGATTCTAGGTATGTAAGATAGATGATGAAATCTCGAAGGTGCCTTTACAAGGTAGGTTGGTCTAAACAGGACACATGAAAAAGACTCTCTAAGACTTAAGTGAGTAAAATCTTTAAGTATCAGTTTAGAGCGTAAGTAAAAGTATGAAGAATGTTTCAGTGTGATGTACTTCCAGGTCCAGGTCCTTATATGGAGCTAGGAGGATATGGTTGTTGAGCTCGAGCATCTTTGAAATAATGGTGAATAACCATCTCATAAATAAGGTCACAGTGACTATATGTATTGAATGCCCATTATTAATGAAAATTGTTGAACTTTAATGAGCATTAAAGTCTCTTTCTGGGCTAGGCATGTACATAAGGCCATGAAGTTTGACATGGGCAATGAATGAACTCGAATGACCTTTTGGCCAAGTTTAATTCGCCTTACCTGTGTAGGTGAAAAAGACTGTGTTATGACGATGATTGACCCTTTGGTCGAGTTGAAGTCGACTTTTATATGCAGGTCGATTTCCTTTCGATTTTGTATTGATGAGGGTTATATGTCATCTTCCCTAGAGTTTATTTTTAGTTGCATTTTATAATTCTCTGGATTCTTGCTTTTAATTTTCTGCAAGCTTGAACATGTGGATTTCACTTGCATCTTTACTAGGTTGTTTTCAGATTTGTTTGTTTTATTAGGCATTTAAATCTATTTGAGTATTTTATTTACATTTCACTTTTTCTTCGTCTTAGGTTAGCTTCATGCATGCTCTTAACTATCCAACTTGGATTTTTACAAACCATTTAGTCTTGTTGTATCAAGTTAGCATTGCTCTCATGCATGCTCTTACTGGATCAACTTGGAGCTTCGTGCATGTTTTTGCTATTGGATCTTCTTTCAATTAACTTTACTATACTCATTGCATAAACTCATGTCAAGTTCACATATCTGCATCTGACTTTGTAAATCTAAAAATATTAGGTCTTACTTGCACATTTTCAGTCATACATTTAACCTACACTTGTTCCAATCCTTGTAGTTAAACTCTAAGTGTCTCTTTCATTTTAATAGGTCACATTATACATGTTACACTGTATTTGAATTTTAAAATCTGCACTTTTCACATTAGTTTGCATTTCCCTTGCATCCCTTTGAACATTGCATACGTTACCTTCCATTCTTTGAATCTGTGTTTTGTTGCGTGGCTTGGTATCTATTTCCTTACATCCTGTTTCACTACACTGTTATTAAATTTTGTATATAGGAAAAAATTTGAACATATGAATCTACACCAACATCATCCCCAAACAGAAGAAATATCGAGTTCAGATCCACTGGCTCTTTCTTTAAGAAGCCAAG